TTAAGTAGTAAAGTTCAACTTGGTTCTGTTTCGACTTACGACCGGTTTCTTGGAACCGAACTCGGTCGTAAGTCGGGGTGGTAGGTGTATAAAGTTTAGATTTTACAAACCCTTTCTCCACCAAACAATGGAAATTAGTCAGTCTCACTGCCCCCAAATTTATGTTTAATACCTGAGTACCTATTCTCTCTCCCTTTTTTAGGATCATAAGATTTATCTTCACAGTCACTCTCATCGATTGAAATGTCCGCTCCACTTTCTCCTTCGCTCTCTTTTTACGTCTTAACCTTCTGTTTTTTGAATCTGCAGATGTTCTCCTGTATCCCAGATTACTAAAAATTTTTCTACTTTTGGTTCAGGAGTAGTTGAACGACTAGTGGATACATCTGTAACACACTCGGAATCTGATGAGTTCTGCTTTGTGGGTTCTTTGGTTCTTTTTCTCAATTTACTACCTTTGGAGTCTCCTTGCTTTCTCATACTAGCCTTTATTTTGGAACTGTGGAAAGGATTAGAAATGAAGACCAGCCACATGAGATGAGGGCTGAGGGAAACTCTTTCCACATCACTATCATCACTGAGGTCAGGCATAGGCATTACAGCTTCATTTCCCCACTGGGAATAGCTCTAATTTTTTCTTTCTTTTTATCATCATCAGCTCATTTTCACTATCACTGTCAGGTAAATCATTTTTATTATCTTTATCTGTCATTTTTCCCCTTGATAAAATCTCTCTTGACACTGTTTTTGGTTGTCATAGTTCTCCTCCTGCTCTTCTCAGCCATTTTCCCCAACACGGAACTAAAATCTATACTAAGACTAGTATTAATCTGATGTGTTATAAAAAGGAGGTTGAATTGCATCAATATCCTTTTGTTTGATTTTTCTCTTAGTTATTTCCTTTTTCTTTTCCTCCATCTTTTTGGGGGCAGTTTCCTTTTGCATCTGTTTCTCTTCCTCATCAGACTGAGAGGTATTCCCATATTTTTTCCTCACTCTTTCCTTTACTAAAATTCCTTGAATCAACCCCCCCAGTTTTTATAAATTTTTTTCTGCTTCTTTTTCTCTTTTTTTTGGCTTAAGGACGAAGAATTCTGTTCCACTTCCCCATGGAGATAAGAGGAAATAAACAAGAACAAGAACTAGAAAGAAAATAGAAGAAAACCCTGAGGGGTGTGTATATACATGCTTGTACATGTATGTGTAGTGTGACCTAAGTGTAAGTAGAAGTAGCAAGACGTACCTGAAACCTTGCATGTTCATGAGATAGAAAAATGGACACCAGCAATCCTACCATCATGTAAAACAATTACAGGCTTTCGTTTTACACTCACTTGGCAGGACGTAAAATGAAAGCCTGTAATTGTTTTACATGATGGTCAGATTGCTGGTGTTCCTCCTTTCTGTCTCATAAACAATATATATATAGTATATGTAAAAAGGAAAAGGTCAAGGTAAGAGTTAAACAAGTTAAGAAAGCCTAGGGAAAGTATGGATTTGTCAGTTAAAAACAGAGTAGGGGAGTTAGTAGATGGGGAGATGGAGGTATTAGGTAGATGGCGAGAATATTTTGAGGAACTTTTAAATGTTAAGGAAGAAACAGAGGCAGTAATTTCATGCACTGGTCAGGGAGGTATACCATCTTTTAGGAGTGAAGAAGAGCAAAATGTAAGTGTGGGGGAGGTACGTGAGGCATTACGTAAAATGAAAGGGGGTAAAGCAGCTGGAACTGATGGGATCATGACAGAAATGTTAAAAGCAGGGGGGGGATATAGTGTTGGAGTGGTTGGTACTTCTGTTTAATAAATGTATGAAAGAGGGGAAGGTACCTAGGGATTGGCAGAGAGCATGTATAGTCCCTTTATATAAAGGGAAAGGGGACAAAAGAGACTGTAAAAATTATAGAGGAATAAGTTTACTGAGTATACCAGGAAAAGTGTACGGTAGGGTTATAACTGAAAGAATTAGAGGTAAGACAGAATGTAGGATTGCGGATGAGCAAGGAGGTTTCAGAGTGGGTAGGGGATGTGTAGATCAAGTGTTTACATTGAAGAATATATGTGAACAGTATTTAGATAAAGGTAGGGAAGTTTTTATTGCATTTATGGATTTAGAAAAGGCATATGATAGAGTGGATAGAGGAGCAATGTGGCAGATGTTGCAAGTACTGTATATGGAATAGGTGGTAAGTTATTAAATGCTGTTAAGAGTTTTTATGAGGATAGTGAGGCTCAGGTTAGGGTGTGTAGAAGAGAGGGAGACTACTTCCCAGTAAAAGTAGGTCTTAGACAGGGATATGTAATGTCACCATGGTTGTTTAATATATTTATAGATGGGGTTGTAAAGGAAGTAAATGCTAGGGTGTTCGGGAGAGGGGTGGGATTAAATTTTGGGGAATCAAATACAAAATGGGAATTGACACAGTTACTTTTTGCTGATGATACTGTGCTTATGGGAGATTCTAAAGAAAAATTGCAAAGGTTAGTGGATGAGTTTGGGAATGTGTGTAAAGGTAGAAAGTTGAAAGTGAACATAGAAAAGAGTAAGGTGATGAGGGTGTCAAATGATTTAGATAAAGAAAAATTAGATATCAAATTGGGGAGGAGGAGTATGGAAGAAGTGAATGTTTTCAGATACTTGGGAGTTGACGTGTCGGCGGATGGATTTATGAAGGATGAGGTTAATCATAGAATTGATGAGGGAAAAAAGGTGAGTGGTGCGTTGAGGTATATGTGGAGTAAAAAAACGTTATCTATGGAGGCAAAGAAGGGAATGTATGAAAGTATAGTAGTACTAACACTCTTATATGGGTGTGAACCTTGGGTGGTAAATGCAGCAGCGAGGAGACGGTTGGAGGCAGTGGAGATGTCCTGTTTAAGGGCAATGTGTGGTGTAAATATTATGCAGAAAATTCGGAGTGTGGAAATTAGGAAAAGGTGTGGAGTTAATAAAAGTATTAGTCAGAGGGCAGAAGAGGGGTTGTTGAGGTGGTTTGGTCATTTAGAGAGAATGGATCAAAGTAGAATGACATGGAAAGCATATAAATCTATAGGGGAAGGAAGGCGGGGTAGGGGTCGTCCTCGAAAGGGTTGGAGAGAGGGGGCAAAGGAGGTTTTGTGGGCAAGGGGCTTGGACTTCCAGCAAGCGTGCATGAGCGTGTTAGATAGGAGTGAATGGAGACGAATGGTACTTGGGACCTGACGATCTGTTGGAGTGTGAGCAGGGTAATATTTAGTGAAGGGATTCAGGGAAATTGGTTATTTTCATATAGTCGGACTTGAGTCCTGGAAATGGGAAGTACAATGCCTGCACTTTAAAGGAAGGGTTTGGGATATTGGCAGTTTGGAGGGATATGTTGTGTATCTTTATATGTGTATGCTTCTAAACTGTTGTATTCTGAGCACCTCTGCAAAAACAGTGATAATGTGCGAGTGTGGTGAAAGTGTTGAATGATGATGGAAGTATTTTCTTTTCGGGGATTTTCTTTCTTTGTTTGGGTCACCCTGCCTCGGGGGGAGACGGCTGACTTGTTGAAAAAAAAAAAAAAATATTCTAGGTAGTAGGGTGGTAGACAGCAACCACCCAGGGAGGTACTACCGTCCTGCCGAGTGAGTGTAAAACGAAAGCCTGTAATTGTTTCACATGATGGTAGGATTGCTGGTGTTCATTTTTCTGTTTCATGAACATGCAAGGTTTCAGGTACGTCTTGTTACTTCTACTTACACTTAGGTCACACTACACACACATATATACATACATACCCCTCTGGGTTTTCTTCTATTTTCTTTCTAGTTCTTGTTCTTGTTTATTTCCTCTTATCTCCATGGGGAAGTGGAACAGAATTCTTCCTCCGTAACCCATGCATGTCGTAAGAGGCGACTAAAATGCCGGGAGCAAGGGGCTAGTAACCCCTTCTCCTGTATATATTACTAAATATAGTGGACCCCCGCATAGCGACTTTAATCCGTGCAAGAGGGCTGATTGTTATGCGAAATGTTCGGTATGTGAATGAATTTTCCCCATAAGAAATAATGGAAATCAAATTAATCCATGCAAGACACCCAAAAGTATGAAAAAAAAATTTTTACCACATGAAATATACATTTTCCTACACACAAAGAGAAGGATACATGCACAATAGTAGAGTAGTACATGCACAATATATATTGTGCATGTACTACTCTACTAAATGAAGAATAAATGACACTTACCTTTATTGAAGATGCAGCAATGTCTGATGAGACACTGTGTCCTGGGAGTGCCTTTTCCTCCTGAGTACTGTAGGTCCTGTTTGGCATTTTCTTCCAGAACAGGCCTTATCACACTGTGTATGCCACTATGATTCTTAAATCTCTCAAACCACCTTTGCTGGCTTTAAATTCACCAATATGAGCACTAGTTCCAGGCATTTTTCCCTGTTCACCTGGGTGTTAGTCGACTGGTGTGGGTTGCATCCTGGGAGACAAGATTAAGGACCCCAATGGAAATAAGTTAGACAGTCTTCGATGACACTGACTTTTTTGGGTTATCTGGGTGGCAAATCCTCTGGGGTTAATTTTCTTGGTATTCTCAATAAGCCACACCAACAACGGTGCTACAGCAGCAGCAGCTGACGGTGGTACAGCAGCAACAGACGATGCTACAGCAGCAACAGACGATGCTACAGCAGCAGCAGACGATGCTACAGCAGCAACAGACGATGCTACAGCAGCAGCAGACGATGCTACAGCAGCAGCAGACGATGCTACAGCAGCAGCAGACGATGCTACAGCAGCAGCAGACGATGCTACAGCAGCAGCAGACGATGCTACAGCAGCAGCAGACGATGCTACAGCAGCAGCAGCACTGATGCTACACAGCAGCAGCAGCTGACGGTGGTACACGAGCAGCAGCTGACAGTGCAGCAGCAGCTGAAGTGCAGCAGCAGCTGACAGTGCAGCAGCAGCTGACAGTGCAGCAGCAGCTGACAGTGGTACAGCAGCAGCAGCAGCTGTACCACCAATAGTAGCGATGGTTGATTGGGGTTTATTATACAACCTGGCCAGCTCGGAGACACGCACTCCACTTTCATACTTATCAATGATCTTTTTCTTCATCTCTATAGTAATTCTCACCCTTATTGCTGTAGGGTTGGCACTAGAAGCTTTCTTGGGGCCCATGGTCACTTATTTTCCAGAAAAAATCACCAAAAACACTGTAATAATACGAAATGTTCCGATTGTATGTTTGGATGTTACCGCGGAGGCTGGCTGGTAAACAATGCCACCGGCGGAACATGTGAGCGTGGCTCAGGCCGCACATTGGATGCGTCTCGGACGAAGAGCGGTGAGCGGGTTTTTGGGCGGTATGCGAGGCAAAATTTTTGCGAAAAAAGCGAGCGGTATGCGGATTGTACGGTATGCGATGCGTGCGGTATGCGGGGGTCCACTGTACAAAAAGAGAAACTTTTGTTTTTCCTTTTGGGCCACCCCGCCTCGGTGGGATACAGCCGGTGTGTTGAAGGAAAGAAAGATATATATGTATACACCTACCATCCGACTTACAACCTGCTCGACATACGACGACTCGACTTACGACCGTGTTTTTTATGCCAAATTTCTGGGAAATAAACAAGTGTTTGTGTTGTACACAGTGTTTATCCTAAACCTTACAGTATAAAATACAGTACTAACAGCATAAAAAAGTAAAGTAAAACATGAAATACCAAAATAAAACAATAAAATAAAGTCAACAAAAATGTTATTTTGATATTAAGTAGTAAAGTTCAACTTGCGTCTGTTTCGACTTACGACCGGTTTCTCGGAACCGAACTCGGTCGTAAGTCGGATGGTAGGTGTATATGTTTAGATTTTACACCGTTTCTCCACCAAACAATGGAAATTAGTCAGTCTCACTGCCCTCATTCATGTTTAATACCTGAGTACCTATTCTCTCTCCTTTTTTAGGATCATAAGATTTATCTTCACAGTCACTCTCATCGATTGAAATGTCCGCTCCACTTTCTCCTTCGCTCTCTTTGTACGTCTTAACCTTCTGTTTTGTGAATCTGCGAGATGTTCTCCTGTATCCCAGATTACTAACATTTTCTACTTTTGGTTCAGGAGTAGTTGAACGACTAGTGGATACATCTGTAACACACTCGGAATCTGATGAGTTCTGCTTTGTGGATTCTTTGGTTCTTTTTCTCAATTTACTACCTTTGGAGTCTCCTTGCTTTCTCATACTAGCCTTTATTTTGGAACTGTGGAAAGGATTAGAAAACTGAAGACCAGCCACATGAGATGAGGGCTGAGAATCTCTTTCCACATCACTATCATCACTGAGGTCAGGCATAGGCATTACAGCTTCATTTCCCCACTGGAGAATAGCTCTAATTTTTTCTTTCTTTTTATCATCATCAAGCTCATTTTCACTATCACTGTCAGGTAAATCATTTTTATTATCTTTATCTGTCATTTTCCTCTTGATAAAATCTCTCTTGACACTGTTTTTGGTTGTCATAGTTCTCCTCCTGCTCTTCTCAGCCATTTCCACAACACTGGAACTAAAATCTATACTAAGACTAGTATTAATCTGATGTGTTATAAGAGGAGGTTGAATTGCATCAATATCCTTTTGTTTGATTTTTCTCTTAGTTATTTCCTTTTTCTTTTCCTCCATCTTTTTGGGGACAGTTTCCTTTTGCATCTGTTTCTCTTCCTCATCAGACTGAGAGGTATTCCCATATTTTTTCCTCACTCTTTCCTTTACTAAAATTCCTTGAATCAACCTCCTCCAGTTATCATAAATTCTTTTCTGCTTCTTTTCCTCTGCTCTTTTAGCTTGTTCAGTTTGTTCCTGCAATGGAGAATTTATTTTGTAATAATGATCAATTATCATTAATGCACAATAACATCTAAAAAATGCAAACAACTGTGAATCGAGATAACTAAAAATTATATTATGGCAAAGATTATAATTAATGGTCCTGGAGAGTTTACCTGGAGTTTACCTGGAGAGAGTTCCGGGGGTCAACGCCCCCGCGGCCCGGTCTGTGACCAGGCCTCCTTAGGTCAGTGTCCCAGGATGCGACCCACACCAGTCGACTAACACCCAAGTACCCATTTTACTGATGGGGAACATAGACAACAGGTGGAAAGAAACACGTCCAATGTTTCTACTCTGGCTGGGAATCGAACCCAGGCCCTCGCCGTGTGAAGCGAGAGCGTTAACCACCAGGCCACCAGAGCTTTGAAAAATGTCACATATAATGATGTGATTAATTTGAGGTCAAGGTCTGTGCACCCCTGTTCCATGCAAAAGCTTTCTATATTATCAATACTTCAAAGGGGGATGCCTTGATGCTGGTTAAGGGCTCTTGATTCAATAAATTTAAACTACTCTTCCTTTTGATCAAGCTTGGTTACCTCTATTACTATTATTATTACAATCAAAACTAAGCACTAAACCCACAAGGGTCATACAGTGCTGCAGGGCAGAATGTGCTAAAGATGAAATATGTGAAGATTGGAGACCAGCAAAGATTAGAAGTATGCAAGAGATAGAGTCAGTAAGTGTTGCGACCCCTGAATGGGTCACAATGTATATGATGTATATTATGTATATGTATATAATGTATATTACCTTTTCATATAATTTTATATTGCACATATTTGCGATCATAGCTAAATCGTAAATATATTGCTTTATATTATTATTTGACTTAGTTATGTTGTTAGGTAGGATGTAACATATTATGTGCTCATAGTTCGAGTCTTGATTGTCTAACTACGTACTGTAATTATCGCTCATTGCTCGTTACTCTGCCGGCTTCTCGTTGTTGCTGGGCAGCAACTGTCCATGGAGCTATCACGTGATTGAGGGAGGGTGTTCTCACCTCGCCTGAAGTATTCAGTCTGGTCTAGACTCGCTTGGTGGTTGGACGTATTCCAGACAAGAAGTGCCTAAATCTCCCTTATTGGCCCTTGTTAGAAGATCGTCTCTGTCTCATTATTGTTATAGGTTCTGTGGGACTCTGTTCACAGAACATTGTATAGACTTAGTGATTTTCGATGTTGTATTGAGGTTGTGTGTCTCATAGACACACGAGCAACTCAGGTCCTGAGCTGTAGCTTCTGACCTAATTTGTACTGGTATCTGTGTACTGTCACAGTTGGGTATTTTCTTATGCTGAACTTAGATTCAGTAATATGGGAGCTTTGTGACTTTTGTGGAGGATCTGCTGATGGTCCCTACTTAGTGTCGTTATATTATCTCCATGTTCCTGATTCTGTGTCGCAGTTGCTTGTTATATTGCTATTGGGCTTAGCTGTCGTTTATTGTTCAAGCAGACTGTTCTGACTGCCAGTTGGTCAAGAAGTTAGTTTATTTGAGGACTTTGTCTGTCACTTGTTTAAGTCTAATCGAATCGTGAGACATAGCGAACTACTTAGAGCACTTACACACATACACATAAACTTATTTGTATATTGTATTATTAAATGTTAATGTACCAGATGGTACTTAAGACATAAATATGTGATATGTGCTTTCAGCACAATACTACTGTCCATCAGAGAAGTGATTATTATTATTTTGATTATTATTAATTTAATTTACTTTGATAATATACCTCTAGACTATGATTAATAAATTTATTAAATTTTAATTTCTCTAGTTAGTAGCCTACCAGTTGTAATCCTGAAACACTAATAATTCTTACTGAATTCCATTGGATAATTGGACAAGAATACTGACTAATTGTTACGAAAACCCAGTAACAGGCTGGATGCTAGAAGGGCTGTCCTTTCTAGTATTCACTGGCGATCTCTAAGCTTTTTAGAAATCGCGTTTTTTGTAACAGTAAGGTTAATGGGGATCGCTAAATTAAAAAAATATAATCAAAGTTGGTGTAATAAGGATGCCGGTGGCAAAAAGCCAAAGAGGGAATCTGCATTAAAGGTGGGACTGTTCACAAATAACCTGCACATAGAAGAGAGGAGCTTACGACGACGTTTCGGTCACTGTTACAAAGTCACTGTGCAACTTTGTAAATGGTCCATGTCGGACCGAAACATCATCGTAAGCTCCTCTCTTCTATGTGTGGGTTATTTGTGTATTGTTCCAGTCACGATATTGTGCCTTTTTTTGTTATTTGTGAGACTGTTGTCAAGGAGGTCAGATAAAGTAAATGCATTACAGCAGTGACAATGTTGGAGGTAAATTCTGTGTGTCTGCTGCTAGACAGGACAGTCTATTAGTAGATGGCAAACTGACAATGGAACTCAACACTGAGTGGTGCTGGGCGCTGCACAAGAGAGATGTGCGTGTCCGATACAAAGGTGGGAGATTGATTACCTTTATTCCTCAGATACTGTATGACCCCCTACAAGTTTAGTCCTTCCTTATGAATATAATAAGATCAAACTATTTCAATAACCCCATTTCTGTTCTTTGAATTATTCTTTTCATACCACCATAGTGCCTTCTAACATCTACTCTTCTGTCTCTTCAAAGTCAGTTGATTAACAGGGTGTATAAATCTGGGGTAGATAAAAAGATAGTGCAGATGTCTGAGGAAGAGGCAACAGATTTTGAGATGCAGAGCTTCATTATCCATCTGACATGCTTGAGCATGTTTAATCAGTGAATGAAAACAAGTGGGTTTTGGGATCTACTTACTGTTCAAGTGTGATCACAGTAATGTCTAGAAAGGGATTTAGGAAACAGGCTAAATGAACTTGAGTTCTGGAAGGAGAAAGTAAGGTGCCTGCACTTTATAGTATATATTGATGTGTACTTTGAATCACTCTGCCCTGGTAGGGAATAACTGCCTTGTCAAAATAAGTTTACCATTAAAATGCAATACAAATTTGGTACTGAAATTAGCCAGTCCCTAGTTATAATATGTAGCTGTACAGAACTTACAGAACTTTAGCAAAGTGTTTGACTAATGCTGATGGGAAAACAATTATTATTTGTCAATCAACCATAATTAAATTTTCAAATGCAATTTACTTTTATTAATATAACAATAACATGATGTACCTGGTTCCATGCATCTAGTAGTATATGTTTGAATTCCTCACAAATTACATAGCCATCATAAACAGGATGAGTCCAGCCAGAGTGAAAATCAAATCCTACCATTGCTGGAGCACAGTCAATATTCAGCTTTCGAGCTACACGATTGAGGCCAGCAACTGTAAAGAAAGAAATTATTATGCATGCAACTCTGAACAACAGATTTTGTGGTGACAAAGAACACTGTTTTGCATAAAAGCCTTGCACTACACTGAATAAAAGACTCAGGCACATAATAACAGACTACTTCTAGGTATGTTAGTACATACTGTTAATGTTAGTGGTGACATTTTTCTAGGCTTCCCTGGAGGTGCTTTTCATGAGGGCAATGTCATGAACACTGTCCTCAAAGAATAACTGCAACCAGGTCCTCACTGGATGCCATCACACACATCACTGGCTTTTACTGTTTCCCTTCATTTGATGGCATGCCTTATGTATTCCAATGGTCTCTGCTCTTGTGTCAATGACATACTCCTGCCCATATTAATTTGTCAACAGCCAAAAATGACTGGCAAACTCGGTCCTCAAGACAACAGTTCAGGGAAACATAGACAAAAAACCACCCACCACACAAGCCCAGAAAGTACTTAGAATAGAGCCATCAGTCACAGGGAATCCTGAGACATCCTGCTTCAAGTTACTAGGCCAGTATATTTTTTGTCTCACTGACAAATGTACCAGGGTAGGGTATTACTTTGGACAATAAATTACATACAGTGCCTTTCACCCATCATACATGAATGATAAGCACTGTATGTACCAGGTGATCAATACTCCCTTTAAACCAGTGGTCTGTTTTATATCATTAGAGAACAGAAACAAAGGTACATTATGCCCACTTGTATGACTGTTTTTGCTCATTCTGTGCACATTTTAAGTACTGTCTGCATCAAGCCATATATATCATACATATAACCATTTTTTCTGTTGTTTAGCATAACTTCACATTAAAACCAATATTCTCTGTCATAAAGCATTCTTTTTCAAAATGCACACTTTGGTACCTTTACTGGGAAAGCCTAGACATACTTCAGCTTGTACATAAATGGTATACAGTACCGACAATATGAAGAATTAGACACACGCAACATCTGGGTATCTTTATTTGTAGACGTTTTGCCAGCCAGTGGCTTTATCAATACAATACAAGGATATAATGTGAAGAATTATATACAACCTAGGTAGTAGGTTGGTAAACAGCAGCCGCCCAGGGAGGTACTACCGTCCTGCCAAGTGAGTGTACAACGAAAGCCTGTAATTGTTTTACATGATGGTAGGATTGCTGGTGTCTTTCGTCTGTCTCATAAACATGCAAGATTTCAGGTATGTCTTGCTTCTTCTACTTGCACTTAGGTCACACTACACATACATGTTCAAGCATATATATACACACCCCTCTGGGTATTCTTCTATTTTCTTTCTAGTTCTTGTTTATTTCCTCTTATCTCCATGGGGAAGTGGAACAGAATTCTTCCTCTGTAAGCCATGCGTGTTGTAAGAGGCGACTAAAATACCGGGAGAAAGGGGCTAGTAACCCCTTCTCCCGTATAAATTACTAAATTTAAGAGAGAAACTTTCGTTTTTCTTTTTGGGCCACCCTGCCTTGGTGGGATACGGCCGGTGTGTTGAAAGAATGAAAGAAGAATTATATACAAAAGATGAGGTCTTGGAGTTGGTTAACAGCACCACAGTCTTAACTATGGTGCTGTTAACTGAGGGACTGATTACCTCATCTTTTGTATATAATTCTTCACATTATGTCCTTGTATTGTACTGATACTCAGTTGTTGCACATATGTCTTTCATTCTTCATACTTCATCTTGCTGTGACTGCTGCAAACATTACAACTTCATATTTTAACTTCTGATCTGCATACTATGGCATACTCAAAACATTTCATGCCACATACTACATTTATAGTTCTAACGACAGTACCATTATTTATAATACACTGTTTAATTCAATTCAAGTTTATTCTCTATAAGGGTTACAATGTGGGGTTTACAAGTTTTGGGTATTTTGTGGTTTATATGTTATAAAATACTAATTACAGAGGGGGCCACTAGGACACCTAGCATGACTAGGCATTTCGGGCAGACTTAGATTAATTCTCAACATTAAATCCTTACAGACTATGGTATTAAGGCTAAGTGACTACATCATAATTTGTGAGTTTAGCAATGTGAATGCCTTTGTTCTGGCACAATACAAAGTGTCTATACTGGAGTATCATAGGCAAACTTATGACTAGTTAGGATTTATTATTTTAAGATTAAGATTAGTATTTCTGGGTTTATAGTCAGTGGGTGAGTGAGTGTAATTGTGAACCACCAGGTGGTTATCATGTAGTTAGTTGTCGGGGTGGATCAGGCATATAAGATGTTTTCTAACTGTAGTTTTGAAAGTGATGAATGTGTCTGCAGTTCTAGAGTTTTCAGGTAGGGTGTTCCAGATTTTAGGTCCTTTGAAATACATTGAATTTTTGTAAAGGTTTAGTCGAACACGGGGAATGTCATAGAGATGTTTGTGTCTGGTGTTATGCCTGTGGATCCTGTCACAACTATCAAGAAAGTGTTTTAGGTCAAGGTTAATATTGGAATTTAAGGTCCTGTAGATATAGATTGCACAGTAGTAAGTGTGGATGTTCTGAACAGGGAGTAAGTTTAGATCTATGAAGAGTTGGGGGGTGTGTTGCCAGGGATGGGATTTAGTGATTATTCTTACTGTGGCTTTTTGTTGGGTTATTATTGGCTTTAGGTGTGTTGCTGCAATTGAACCCCAAGCACAGATAGCATAGGTGAGGTATGGATATATAAGTGAATGGTAAAGTGTGAGAAGCTACTAATGATACAAAAACTTTCAAATTATAAAGGATCAGAAGCAGATTACTACTAAGGGTTCACTGCCAGCCATGTATGCACTTACTTGGAATGTGTACACATCCCTTTGGAAGCATGCTTGGCTTGAACAGTTCCACATTGCCATATTCATTACGAGGAACCTTTCCTCCTGAGGCCACTGGAGGTTCATAGTCTTCCACTTGCCACTCTCCAAACAACTCCAATGGAATATCTTTGATCACTTTACATGCAACCTAGAATACATACAACACCCATTAAGTTGTCTGATACAGCATAAAACTTGCTGCAAAATTTTCCTTGTAGACAATTATTGTTTCTATGGAAAATCAAAGTTGCCTGCTTTTCTTACAAATTAATACTATGTAAATATTTTTTAATTCTCGGTGGAATATGGCCGATTTGCTGAAAGAAATATTTTTTAATGCAGACCATTTCCTGCCCAGATAGGGTGACCGCCCCCCCAAAAAATATATATATACATGTACGTATATATATATAGATATACATTAGGTAATGTGCAATGGAAAAACACAAGTTATAATAAATTTACTGGTACATATCAAACTTTTTTGTTTTTTCTTTTAACCTTAACCAAGAGTTTCAGGGGTCAAATGCAAAAATAAAATAAATCTCTCCTACTCCTTTCAATTGAAAGACTAACAACTAATTTTCAAGAAACTCTCCCAAATGGAAAGAATGAGTGAACAAACAATAGCAATTACAATATTCTCAATTTTTAAAGCATTGGGAGAAAAATAAATCAAGAGCTGTAAGACCATGGGTTTTAATAAATATGTGGAAAAAAGTCTCACCTTATCCCATTTAGGTCGGGCTTTTACAACCTTGTATGGTTCCTCCCCAACTCTCACTGTCTTAGCTTCCTTCACCCAAGTGTCCCGAGAATGCAGATTGTAGACGCTATCACGGGGATAAATTGGTTCGCTTCTGATGAATCCAACAGGAGAGACATCAGGTGGGTAGATTGCTTCAAACTTAAGAAGATGGCGTTGCAAAGCATACAATGGATGATTTTTGTACCTGAAGAAAAAGAAACCACCTTAATTCTGTATCAACTATACAGTTTGACATGTTAAAGCTTCTATGAAAAACACATTATTAAAATTAATAATATACAACAAATATAAAAACAATGTAAATTTCTAGGACTACACAAAGATATGAAATAATTAAATCTTTCTTTCAACAAACTGGCCATATCCCACCAAGGCGGGGTGGCCCAAAAGGAAAAACGAAAGTTTCTCCTTTTACATTTAGTAATATATACAGGAGAAGGGGTTACTAGTCCCTTGCTCCTGGCATTTCAGTCGCCTCTTACAACACGCATGGCTTATGGAGGAAGAATTCTGTTCCACTTCCCCATGGAGGTAAGAGGAAATAAACAAGAACTAGTAAGAAAATAGAAGAAAACCCAGAGGGGGGTGTGTATATATATGCTTGTACATGTACGTGTAGTGTGACCTAAGTGTAAGTAGAAGTAGCAAGACGTACCTGAAACCTTGCATGTTTATGAGACAGAAAAATGGACACCAGCAATCCTACCATCATGTAAAACAATTACAGGCTTTCGTTTTACACTCACGTGGCAGGACGGTAGTACCTCCCTGGGCGGCTGCTGTCTACCAACCTACTACCTAAAAATAATTTAATATTCATATAAAAATATAAATTGAAAAATATATACATACTGGCTTACTATATTTTGAAGCTCTTCATTTTTTTGTTCACTCTATCTTTAAGACTCTTCCAAGGGGGCTAAAACAGAACTCATAAGAACTCCCCAAAAAACAAATACTGCACCTTTACAAAACTTCACATGTATGGTTGAATCTATGTGCAAACTCCACACAAATAAAAAGCTGCAGAATATGGAACATTATTAGAAGAAATCTTCTTCCTTCAACAAGCTGGCAGTATCCCACTGAGGCAGGGTGGCCCAAAAAGAAAAACAAAAGTTTCTCTTTTTAACTTTAGTAATGTATACAGGAAAAGGGGTTACTAGCCCCTTGCACCCATATTATAAGAAATATAATGACATAATGTACAGCAAACCTTCATCAAATCTGAAACTTTGTAACAGCTCAATCTTGAGCAGAAGTCACTTAAATAAAGGCTAGCTCTACATTACATGCCTGTATACAAAACAAGATGTAGCAATATCAAAGTGGTAATTCAATGAGAAGCAGAAAGTTGTTGAGGAAGATTAGTCTTGTAGAATGAATAGAAAAAGAGATAGGTTGACTAAGAGGATGTATCAATCTACAGTATGTGGACAGAAGTGTAGAGAATATCCAAAAGAAAAAATAGAAGGAAGAATGGATGAAGCATGAATAAGGACCAAGATTCTCTGCTTATGAAGATACTTTGACTACGCAGAGATTACAAATAAGCTACACACCTTGGCTTTCTTGGTGCTTATTCGTTCTTTCATTTCCTTTTGAATTTATTTTTGTAATTGTTTGTTTTGAGGGTTTGCTTAATTACTTGCTTAAAAGCCTTCAGTCTGCACTGAATCAAGCAGCCAGACTGGTATTACGTATTATTATTATTCTTTCAACAAACAGGCCGAATCTCAACAAGGCAGGGTGGCCCAAAAAGAAAAACGACAGCTTCTCTTTTTAAATTTAGTATTTTATACAAGAGATGGGGTTACTAGCCCCTTGCTCCAGACATTTTAGTTGGCTCTTATGACACACATGGCTTACGGAAGAAGAATTTTCTTCCACTTCTTCATGGAGGTAAGAGGAAATAAACAAGAACAGGGACTAGTAAGGAAAAGAGAAGAAAACCCAGAGGGTGTGTGTGTGTGTGTGTGTGTGTGTGTGTGTCTATATATACAGTGGACCCCCGGTTAACGATTTTAATCCGTGCAAGAGGGGTAATTGTTATGCGAAATAATCGTTATGTGAATGAATTTTCCCCATAAGAAATAATGGAAATAAAATTAATCCGTGCAAGACACCCAAAAGTATGAAAAAAAAATTTTTTTACCACATGAAATGTTAATTTTAATACACACAAACTGAAAAAGGCATGCACACTTACATGACACTTACTTTTATTGAAGATCTGGTGATGATTGATGGGATGGGAGGAGGGGAGAGCATTATCTTCTTACTGTTTAGAAGGGAATCCCCTTCCATTAGGACTTGGGGTAGCAAGTCCTTTTCTGGGGTTACTTCCTTCTTCTTTTAATGCCACTAGGGCCAGCTTCAGAGTCACTGGACTTCTTCGCACAAGATATCTGTCCATAGTGGCCTGTACCTCTCGTTCCTTTATCACTTCCCTAAAGTGTTTCACAACATTGTCAGTGTACAGGTTGCCAACACGGCTTGCAATAGCTGTGTGAGGGTGATTTTCATCCATGAAGGTTTGCACTTCAAGCCACTTTGCACAGATTTCCTTTATCTTTGTAGTAGGCAAACTTCTCAATTTCTCTCTCCCCTCCTCTGAACCATTTCCCCAGGTCTGGCCTCTTGCTCTTGAAGTTGATCTATCAGCTCATCAGTGGTTAGTTTTCATTGTCCTCCTCCACAACTCTTCCACATCCTCCCCACTAACCTCCAACCCCAAGGACTTTCCCAATGCCACAATGGATTCCTCAACTGGCATAATCCTCTCAGGGTTAGCCTCAAACCCTTCAAAATCCCTTTTGTCTACACATTCTGGCCACAGTTTCTTCCAAGCAGAGTTCAAGGTCCTCTTAGTCACTTCCACCAAGCCTTACCTATAAGGTTTACACAATTGAGGATATTAAAGTGATCTCTCCAAAACTCTCTTAGAGTCAGTTGAGTTTCTGAGGTCATTACAAAGCACCTTTCAAACAGAGCTTTTGTGTACAGTTTCTTGAAGTTGGAAATAACCTGCTGGTCCATGGGCTGCAGGAGAGGAGTGGTATTAGGAGGCAAAAACTTCACCTTAATGAAGCTCATGTCCCCATAAAGTCGCTCTGCCACGTCTGTAGGATGACCAGGGGCATTGTCTAACACCAGGAGGCACTTAAGTTCTAATTTCTTTTCAGTTAGGTAATCTTTCACATTGGGGGCAAATGCATGGTGTAACCAGTTATAGAAAAATTCCCTAGTGACCCATGCCTTACTGTTTGCCCTCCACAGCACACACAAATTATCCTTGAGGACATTCTTTTGCCTGAAACACTCTGGGAGTTTCAGAGTGATACACTAATAAAGGCTTCACTTTGCAATCACCAGTAGCATTGGCACACATGAGAAGAGTAAGCCTGTCTTTCATAGGCTTATGTCCTGGGAGTGCCTTTTCCCTCCTGAGTAATGTAGGTCCTGCTTGGCATTTTCTTCCAGAACAGGCCTGTTTCATCACAATTAAACACTTGTTCAGGTTTCAGTCCTTCAGTTTCTATGTACTCCTTGAATTCCTGCACATATTTTTCAGCCGCTTTGTGGTCCGAACTGGCAGCCTCACCATGCCTTATCACACTATGGATGCCACTACGCTTCTTAAATCTCTCAAACCAACCTTTGCTGGCCTTAAATTCACTCACATCATCACTAGTTGCAGGCATTTTTTTAATTAAATCCTCATGCAACTTCCTAGCCTTTTCACATATGATCGCTTGAGAGACGCTATCTCCTGCTAGCTGTTTTTCATTTATCCACACCAATAAGAGTCTCTCAACATCTTCCATCACTTGCGATCTTTGTTTCGAAAACACAGTTAAACCTTTGGCAAGAACAGCTTCCTTGATTGTCTTTTTGGTGCCCACAATAGTAGCGATGGTTGATTGGGGTTTCTTGTACAACTTGACTAGGTCGGCGATACGCACTCCACTTTCATACTTATCAATGATCTCTTTCTTCATTTCAATGGGTATTCTTACCCTTTGAGGTGTACGGTTGGCACTAGAAGCTTTCTTGGGGCCCATGGTCACTTATTTTCCAGAAACAGCACCGAAAACACTGTAATAATACGAAATATTCCGAGTGTATGCTTGGATGTTACCGCGGAGGCTGGCTGGTAAACAATGGCACGGGCGGCACATGTGAGGCTGGCTGAGGGCGCACATTGGACGCGTCTCGGACGAAAATCGGTGAGCGGGTTTTTAATCGGTATGCGCGGCAAAAATTTTGCGATTAAAGTAAGCGGTATGCGAAATAATCACTATGTGATGCCATCGTTATGCGGGGGTCCACTGTAGATATATATATATATATATATAAATATATATATATATATATATATATATATATATATATATATATATATATAATATATATATATATATATATATATATATATATATATATATATATATATATATATGCTTGTACAGTAGAACCCCGGTTATAGGCCGTTGTGGAAATCAGCCAATTCGGAAATCAAGCACTTTTATCAGCAAAATTTTGCTCCGGATATTAGCCAGGCTCAAGTTAGAGTATGTAGGAAAGAGGGAAATTATTTCCCAGTAAAAGTGGGCCTTAGACAAGGATGTGTGATGTCACTGTGGTTGTTTAATATATTTATAGATGGGGTTGTAAGAGAAGTAAATGCGAGGGTCTTGGCAAGAGGCGTGGAGTTAAAAGATAAAGAATCACACACAAAGTGGGAGTTGTCACAGTTACTCTTTGCTGATGACACTGTGCTCTTGGGAGATTCTGAAGAGAAGTTGCAGAGATTGGTGGATGAATTTGGTAGGGTGTGCAAAAGAAGAAAATTAAAAGTGAATACAGGAAAGAGTAAGGTTATGAGGACAACAAAAAGATTAGGTGATGAAAGATTGGATATCAGATTGGAGGGAGAGAGTATGGAGGAGGTGAATGTATTCAGATATTTGGGAGTGGACGTGTCAGCGGGTGGGTCTATGAAAGATGAGGTGAATCATAGAATTGATGAGGGGAAAAGGGTGAGTGGTGCACTTAGGAGTCTGTGGAGACAAAGAACTTTGTCCTTGGAGGCAAAGAAGGGAATGTATGAGAGTATAGTGTTACCAACGCTCTTATATGGGTGTGAAGCATGGGTGATGAATGTTGCAGCGAGGAGAAGGCTGGAGGCAGTGGCAATGTCATGTCTGAGGGCAATGTGTGGTGTGAATATAATGCAGTGAATTCGTAGTTTGGAAGTTAGGAGGAGGTGCGGGATTACCAAAACTGTTGTCCAGAGGGCTGAGGAAGGGTTGTTGAGGTGGTTCAGACATGTAGAGAGAATGGAGCGAAACAGAGTGACTTCAAGAGTGTATCAGTCTGTAGTGGAAGGAAGGCGGGGTAGGGGTCGGCCTAGGAAAGGTTGGAGGGAGGGGGTAAAGGAGGTCTTGTGTGCGAGGGGCTTGGACTTCCAGCGGGCATGCGTGAGCGTGTTTGATAGGAGTGAATGGAGACAAATGATTTTTAATACTTGACGTGCTGTTGGAGTGTGAGCAAAGTAACATTTATGAAGGGGTTCAGGGAAACCGGCAGGCCGGACTTGAGTCCTGGAGATGGGAAGTACAGTGCCTGCACTCTGAAAGAGGGGTGTTAATGTTGCAGTTTAAACTGTAGTGTAAAGCACCCTTCTGGCAAGACAGTGATGGAGTGAATGATGGTGAAAGTTTTCTTTTTCGGGCCACCCTGCCTTGGTGGGAATCAGCCAGTGTGATAATTAAAAAAAAAAAAAAAAAATCAGCCATGCTCTCGGGAATCATTGTTGTGAGACGTGTCACCATTGACCGGCGACACTCTTCCTGGCGTGTATCACACTCAGTCTGCACATCTCTCTCACTGGATTAGGAATACTTTGTGGCTTCATCCATTGTTTCTGGTGTTTTTCTGTTGATTGCAACTGTGAAATAAGCCACCATGGGGCCAAAAAAAGTTCAGAGTGCCAGCCCTTTGGTAAAGAAGGTGAGAAACACGACAGAATTCAAGAAAGAAGTTATAGCAAAATATGAAAGTGGCGTACGTGTGTTGGACCTTGCCAGGATGTGTGGCAAATCAACATCAACAATCGGTTCCATGCTGTTGAAGAAAGCAGAAATCAAGGAAGCTGATGTTGCAAAAGGGGCAAATATGTAATGTAAAACAGAGGTCACAAACAATTGAGAATGTGGAGTTGTTGTTGTGGATCAACCAAAAACAATTAGCTGGAGATAGTGTTTCGGAGGGTTTAATTTGTGAGAAGGCAAGGCAAAGCAGTTGCATGTGGATCTTGTAAAGAAAATACCAGGAACGAGTGCTGATGTTAGTGAATTTAAAACCAGTAGAGGCTGGTTCGACAGATTCAAGAAGCGTAGTGGCATGCTGTGTATGCCACTACGCCTTCTTCCATATGCCAACGAGAGTCTTCAATAAAGGTATGTAATGTTCATTTCTTAATAAAACTATTAATACATATTATTAAAATTCTTATTATTATTAAAATTACTGAATTTCTTTCTCATTGTTTTGTGTATGTACATAAAACTATATGTAAAAATATAGCTAATCTTTAAAAAATATATATTTTGTTAATATTTTTGGGTATCTGGAACGGATTAATTGTATTTACATTATTTCTTATGGGAAATATTGATTCGGTTTTTGGCCATTTTGGATTTAGGCCAACCTTCTGGAACGGATTACAGCTGATAACCGGATACAAAAGAGACATCAGCAATCCTACCATCATGTAAAACAAATACAGGCTTCCATTTTACACTCATTTAGCAGGACGGTAGTACCTCCCTGAGCGGTTGCTGTCTACCAACCTACTACCTAATCATTATTATTCATTCTTCTTTCTTTCAACAAACCGGCCATATCCCACTGAGGCAAGGTGGCCCAAAAAGAAAAACAAAAGTTTCTCTTTTTAAATTTAGTAATTTATACAGGAGAAGGGGTTACTAGCCCCTTGCTCCCAGCATTTTAGTCACCACCTCTTACAACACGCATGGCTTACGGAGGAAGAATTCTGTTCCACTTCCCCATAGAGATAAGAGGAAATAAATAAAGAACAAGAACTAGAAAGAAAATAGAGGAAAACCCAGAGGGGTATGTATATATATGCTTGTACATGTACGTGTAGTGTGACCTAAGTGTAAGTAGAAGTAGCAAGACGTACCTAAAACCTTGCATGTTTATGAGACAAAAAATGGACACCAGCAATCCTACCATCATGTAAAACAATTACAGGCTTTCGTTTTACACTCACTTGGCAGGACGGTAGTACATACCTCCCTGGGTGGTTGCTGTCTACCAACCTACTACCTAATTCTTCTTTCTTTCTTTCAACACACCGGCCGTATCCCACCGAGGCGGGGTGGCCCAAAAGGAAAAACGAAAGTTTCTCCTTTTACATTTAGTAATATATACAGGAGAAGAGGTTACTAGCCCTTTGCTCCCGGCATTTTAGTTGCCTCCTACAACACGCATGGCTTACGGAGGAAGAATTCTGTTCCACTTTCCCATGGAGGTAAGAGAAAATAAACAACAAGAACAAGAACTAGTAAGAAAATATTAGAAAACCCAGAGGGGTGTGTGTATATATGCTTGTACATGTATGTGTAGTGTGACCTAAGTGTAAGTAGAAGTAGCAAGACATACCTGAAATCTTGCATGTTTATGAGACAGAGAAATGGACACCAGCAATCCTACCATCATGTAAAACAATTATACAAGCTTCCGTTTTACACTCACTTGGCAGGACGGTAGTACCTCCCTGGGCGGTTGCTGTCTACCAACCTACTACCTAATTATATTATTATTATTATTATGATCATTATCATCATCATCCCTTAAGATTCAATCCACAACAGACTACTAACTTCTAGGTACGTATTTATATTTACTACTAGTTACATGGGCAGCAGGTATTAGGAAACTTACTCAAACATCTCATCCCACCCAAGATTAAACTCGAATCATTTTGGGTGAAAGCCAAACTCTACCACTGAGCATCAAAGTACAAAGCTGCACCTCAGTACGTAATTAAAAGTAAATGGAAAAAGGCACAGTAATTTTTTATTTTTTTTATTTATTATCACACTGGCCGATTCCCACCAAGGCAGGGTGGCCCGAAAAAGAAAAACTTTCACCATCATTCACTCCATCACTGTCTTGCCAGAAGGGTGCTTTACACTACAGTTTTTAAACTGCAACATTAACACCCCTCCTTCAGAGTGCAGGCACTGTACTTCCCATCTCCAGGACTCAAGTCCGGCCTGCCGGTTTCCCTGAATCCCTTCATAAATGTTACTTTGCTCACACTCCAACAGCACGTCAAGTATTGAAAAACCATTTGTCTCCATTCACTCCTATCAAACACGCTCACGCATGCCTGCTGGAAGTCCAAGCCCCTCGCACACAAAACCTCCTTTACCCCCTCCCTCCAACCCTTCCTAGGCCGACCCCTACCCCGCCTTCCTTCCACTACAGACTGATACACTCTTGAAGTTATTCTGTTTCGCTCCATTCTCTCTACATGTCCGAACCACCTCAACAACCCTTCCTCAGCCCTCTGGACAACAGTTTTGGTAATCCCGCACCTCCTCCTAACTTCCAAACTACGAATTCTCTGCATTATATTCACACCACACATTGCCCTCAGACATGACATCTCCACTGCCTCCAGCCTTCTCCTCGCTGCAACATTCATCACCCATGCTTCACACCCATATAAGAGCGTTGGTAAAACTATACTCTCATACATTCCCCTCTTTGCCTCCAAGGACAAAGTTCTCTGTCTCCACAGACTCCTAAGTGCACCACTCACTCTTTTTCCCTCATCAATTCTATGATTCACCTCATCTTTCATAGACCCATCCGCTGACACGTCCACTCCCAAATATCTGAATACGTTCACCTCCTCCATACTCTCTCCCTCCAATCTGATATTCAATCTTTCATCACCTAATCTTTTTGTTATCCTCATAACCTTACTCTTTCCTGTATTCACCTTTAATTTTCTTCTTTTGCACACCCTACCAAATTCATCCACCAATCTCTGCAGCTTCTCTTCAGAATCTCCCAAGAGCACAGTGTCATCAGCAAAGAGCAGCTGTGACAACTCCCACCCTGTGTGTGATTCTTTATCTTTTATAATATAAAAACAATGTACCTCACTTGCTGAATGTGGCTCCCGTATTTTATAAAAAAGTCACACTTTCACAAATTTTTTATACAATGCAAAAAAGAATGCTGAGAAACATGGTGTATTAAACTGTGATGTCCAAATAACCATAAAATGTACAGCAATAATAAAGTTAGAAAAATTGATTGTACATCCATGCTAGAGTCACCAATATGCTTACACCAGTTTGTCTCAGTATCTAAACTCTAAGGCATATGACTCACACTCAGTCTCCAATATTTGTATGCATCACTTTATCTCATAAGACCATAGCTACAATTGCAAATCATGATTTTATGCTCACTCTCCGATGCTCCTTGGTAGTGGCTGCTCCTGAAGAATTTGGTCCATTTCTTTGTCCTCCTCCTTATCTAGTCGAGTCCTTTGTCCCTTAAAAGGTTTCAGTGACTCCTCCCACCATTTACTGCAGCATCGTATCTTGAAATAAGAATTAATATCAAGCTTCTAGGAATATAATATCTCAAAGCTGTCAACTCGAGCTGCTTCACCTCAAAATTTTACACTGCACAAAGTAGCACTGGGTGACCTTGTATTTTGATTTGTACAACAGTTATGGAATATAATTTTTTTAATAAGTAATTGATAATTATTGAACACTTAGGTATAAAACAATCATACAACATGTACAACCTGACTCATGAATTTACCATGTGGCCAACAATAGCCAGAATATTTTCATATCCATGAATTTTAAGTTCTTTCTTGCCCCATAATTTCATTATTTTCTGCTCAAATTTAATATAAAGAAAATTATTATTTTGTATATATGTATGTATAAAAAACGATAATCAAATAAAATACAGTTGAGAAATGGAAACCATTTCATATATAATCAAATTAAAATCAGCATTTTTGCAGTACAGTAATTATGTCAGGAGAGATTATTTTTTTCTTTTATCTAATAATGTATAATCCAGGTCTTAATTTGAAAGAATTTTTGGCTTTGTTTAACTGTTACTCACCAACTTAAGTCTGTGTCTGGTGGGGCTCATTAGAATATGAAGTTATAATACTATATAATACCGTACTACAGTGGCAGTGCCAAGGGAAGGGGGGCTTTCAGGGCTCCCATTGACTGTCGGTGTCATATAAACACGCCTTACGAGCCAATGTTGTTTGACATATTAATAGGCCAAAATTCTAGTGCTTCAAATCAAGCGGAAGAAAGCTGGTAGGTCCACATGTTACAGAATGGGTCTGTGTGGTCAGTGTGCTCAGTATAAAAAATATCCTGCAGCACGCAGTGCATAATGAGAAAAAAAAAAACTCTGACAAAGTTTGTGGATTAAAATGCTGACTGAGGTGTATTTTTGTATAGTATTTATGGTTGTATTCTCATTTTCTTGGTCCCATTTAATAGAAAGAAAGACATTACAGAAATAGAGATGATTTTGATTGGTTTCCACTCAAAGCAGCGGAAATGTTCGATTTTTGCCGATGTTCAAGAGTAAACAAATGATATTACCGTCCAATAAGTGTCCATTTAGCCATTCCAATACGCAGTCACAAATGGGTTGACATTATTTATACAATTATTACAATAATGCAGTAGTCTGCATAACAGTAAATCTTATAATTTTTGTGTGAATAAAAATTCAAAATAGAAAGCAAGAGTAATAAAAGAGGGGCCTGGAGATGTGAGAAAATGTTATTTTAGTGCCAGGAATGTCTGCATTGTTTATTCTGGACCCTATTTTGAAACTGGCATCTTTTATAATTTGTGTGAAATTGGCCAAATCGCCAATTTCTGCCCACTTTATTGGGTAGTTGAAATCGGTAAATGGGCAGTTTCTTGTACTTAATTGATAGAACAAATGGAGTTCTAAAGAAATAGCTATGAGTTTGGTTGACTGGAACAATGGAATCGGCCAAAAATAGGGTTCAAAGTGGGCGAAATCACCGATGCGTATACATAGCCGAGATCACTAACTTCGCAAGAGCGTAATTCCGTAAGTTTTCGATCAAATTTCATACTTTTGGTGTCATTACCACTGGGAAAAGATTCTCTATCATTTCATAGGAAAAAATAATTTTTTTTCGAATATTTTGTGAAACACAGAAACACTTCAGGATTTGGGGTCTTGACAGTCAAAGGGTTAAACACCCAGAAATTCCCTCAACCCCAAATAAAAACAGTAAAAATGAAAGCACTTTCAAAACAAGTATCTTAGCTCCCCCCCCACTCATCCGACCATATAGCCACCCCTAAGCCCCTAAGTACAGAAATTCTGGCAGTGCCCCTGTTGTGCTATAGTGATAGTACAATACATGAAAGTGGGTAAAACAAAGCTGCCTCTTCATCTCACCTGGTCAGTTTGTTCCCCAAGGATTTTGAGTTCATCAATGGATTTTGCTGACATTTTGCAAATAAAATTAGTATCTGCATATACAATTTTAATCCGCTCTGATTCACAACTCAGTCTGGCTTTGTTTCTCGTTGAGTGAGCATTACCCCGTGCGTTCATCCGAAACATTTCATAATAATCTATTGTTTTTTGTGTTTGTTTATTGAGTGAGACTGCTAAATAAGCCACCATGGGGCCAAAGAAAGTTCTGAGTGCCAGCCATTTCATAAAGAAGGCGAGAAACACGACAGAATTCAAGAACTCGTAGCAAAGTACGAAAGCAGTTGCAAGCCATGTCTGCAACATGTCCAATGACAATGCTTTGTCCCATTTTAGGCAAATCTTAAAGAGACGCCAGAAACAGACCTCTCTGGACAGATTTTTTCTGCCACGGGGGTCCAGTGACTCTCAAGCTGGTCCTAGTGCCAGTAAAAGACAAAGAAGGGAAGTAACCCCGGATAGGGCCTTGATACCTGAAGTAATTATGGAGGGGGATTCCCCTTCCAAACAATAACCTCTCCTCCTCCCTCTCCCCTCCTCGCCGTCTTCCATATCCCAACAAGAGTCTTCAATAAAGGTAAAAGTGATTTTAAATTTTCATTTATCCATTTCATTAGTCATTTATATTTATTTCTCATTGTCTTCTGTATGTAAAACTATAGTTATTCTCTATAAAATGTATTTTTTGTTAATATTTTTGGGGTGTCTGGAATGGATTAATTGGATTTATGTTATTTCTTATGGAAAATATTACTTCAGTTTTCATACAATTTGGTTTTCATCAGACTTTCTGGAACAAATTAATCACAAAAACCAAGGTTCCACTGTATATACTTTTACTTTTTAAATACATACTATATTTTCATAACCCTTAAACAAGACAGTATTACAGCTCAATCTGGAAAAATATTAACTGTATGTCTAACAGAAACAAGGAAATAAAATCCTGCAGAAGAAAAATGGATCTCCTAAGCTACAAATTAAGTTTTGGAAAAAAATTTCCATGTGCAGTAATTATCAATTAATAAAATAAGATCATAATCCCTCTCCTAGATACCTCAATATTTTAGGGAAATATTCACAGATGTAGTTCTTAAAATACACAAAGTAAGTATTAAAAACTATGTAAAATGTCCTACAGTGAAACCTTGGTTTTCCTAGGATTCGGTTTCTGACGACTTTTTTTGTCTAAATTTTGTCCCAGTTTTCATACATCCACTCGGTTTTCATAGAGTCGAAAATGGTCCCTATCAAACGCATCCAGCTGCCCATGCCCACACAAAGCATCCCATGTGTTCGTGACTCAGTCTGCCTTTGCTTCTCATTGAGTGAGCACCATCCCACTCATTCATCCAAAACATTTCGTAATAATCCATTGTTTTTTGTGCTTGTTTATTGAGTGCAACTGCTAAATAAGCTACCATGGGGCCAAAGAAAGTTCCAAGTGCCAGACCTTTGCACATCAGAGCTTATTTCTTGGGTAGCATTGAAAATTGGGTTGGTCAAATGTTTTGTTAGTGGGATGAATTGTAAAGGACCTGCCTAGTATGGGCCAACAGGCCTGCTGCAGTGTTCCTCCTTTCTTATGTTCTTAAAAAAGGCGAGAAATGTGCCTTCTTCAGTGATTAAGGATGTGTGTGCAAAGTGGAATGAGTTGCAAACTTTTGTGGAGAAATATCACCCTAACAAAGCTGTTGCAAGCTATGTCTGCAACATGTTCAGTGACAATGCCTTGTCCCATTTTAGGCAAATCTTAGGGATGCCAGAAGCCTCTCCAGACAGATTTTTTTTGCAACAGGGGTACAGTGACTATCAAGCTGGTCCTAGTGCCAGTAAAAGACAAAGGGAAGTAACCCCGGATAGGGCCTTGATACCTGAAGTCCCTATGGAGGGGGATTCCCCTTTCAAACAATAACCTCTCCTCCTTCCTCTCCCCTCCTCAATGTCTTCCATACGCCAACAAGAGTCTTCAATAAAGGTTAAAGTGATGTTAAATGTTCATTTATCCATTTCATTATACATTTATATTTATTTCTCATTGTTTTCTGTATGTAAAACTACATTCTCTATAAAATGTATTTTTTGTTAATATTTTTGGGTGTCTGGAATGGATTAATTGGATTTACATTATTTCTTATGGGAAATATTGCTTCAGTTTTCATACGATTTGGTTTTAGTCAGACTTTTTGGAACAGATTAATCATGAAAACTGAGGTTCCACTGTACATCAAACAAGGAATAAGGTATAGATGCTTCATATCTCTAATTTCTTTAGACCACTGATCATGTTTCTATGGAAATAAATTTGATAGGTAAGTGTCAAAAATTTTATACTATAATGTATAAAAAATACATTATGATATTATGACAAATACCAATGACATTATGAAAAAAAAAAAAAAGGTAGTAAGTGTCTTGACTAACAGAAATTTAAAAAAAAAATTATACAACATATTAATGAAGATAATACACCACAAGCTTTTATAATTTTAATCAGGGGGAAACACTAAATCAGTAGGGGTTATATGATCAGGAAATGGCCAGCATTCAGGTCCAATTCAATGAAGTGCAGGATTTCAAGAACATAGCACTGTTTCTGTAGCTACAAATAGCTACAAATAGTTGGCAATTACAGCCAACTTTTAGATTATAAGCTGAATTATAAATTGGCAATTACAGCTAATTTTTGGATTGCAAGCTGAAACAGTAAGCCAAATAATCATAATACAGTATTTAATTCTTACGTGTGACTTACTTTATTTTCGCTGGAGAGCCAACTAGAAACATAGCGCCTTGTTACATCTTTCACTGTTAGGTTGGCATTATAGGCAGTGATATAAGCTGATCCCGCTGGCATACGAGCCTTGGAAAACAATGTGGCATTGTACTTGTCATTACAATAAATCATATGAAAAGGTGAAAGTTTAGAAAAAAAAAAAAGGGTATGCAATATCAAGGATGAGAGAGAACAACTGTCAATAATCTACTCAATTAATAGTACAAACTGAAGCACAGAAATGTGTTTAGTTTTTGTTTTGCCCCAGTCCATGATGATAAACATTATTTAGTTCAGGCTTTGAAAGTGTGTTTGCCCCAACACACCTAAATACTGTATTGAACACAATAACAATCATTTAATACATAATTACATTAGAAACTCATTTATCACATGTCCATGGATAGTAGTAGATCAGTGTTCATAACATTAAAAATTATATACAACACAATAAAAACAAGGATAAAATAAATAAACAGTAACAGCAACAAATACTTATTGCAAATACTTATCCAAGGAGTGCATTTTCCATAAATCACAAATGAAATATTGCACCCAAGCCCTAATGCATGGGAATGACTAGTCAATTGCCCTGAAAAGCTTGGGTAAAATAAGAATGTAGGGAAATTTTCCTCATGGCTTGGCAGAAATTATTTTTGAGACACTACACGATGCTGATAAATATACAGACTTTTTAACAGAACAGTGCCCTGACACATCTAGAAGCAACAAAACACTGCAGTAGGCCTATTGGCTCATGCTATGCAGTCCCTTTCTCAGCTACTCATACACAAGTATTTTCAAAATGAAAACAAAGAAGCACTGCAGTAGGTCAGTTGACCCATGCTATGCAGGTCTTGCTCTCAGCCATTCATACACAACTGTCTGACCTGTTTTTAAAGTGACCCATCCATAATGCTTCTATGTCAACAAGCACCAACAACCAGAATTTAAGACGAGATAAAATTGCTGTATTTTACTATTTTAGCCCTAGGTATATTATAAACCTCACTACATTCAATTAGGCCTAACAGGGTCATATCAACCCTCGCAACTGATTTCTAGATCAACAAGCAATGACAGCTACAAGATAAAGTATGAAAAAATGTTAGCTGTGACAAATTATGTGATTAAAAAACTTATTTGGCTTTGTTCGAGGTGTCACGAACATTATTACATCTTTCCCATGTCTTCAGTTCACACAACGTTAATTCATGCAAGGCACATATTTTCAGAAATGTAACCCATGAGATATATAATAATCTACTATGTTATAAAATTAAGATGAAAAGCTTTATAAATGAAAACCATTCGTTGTATTCTTTCATAAAATATTTACAAAAATGCTTCTTATTCAAAGGCATACTGAAACATTTGTTTTTAACAAGTTTTACAGTTTTTTATCTTATCTAACCTGTCTTAAATTATAGAGAAGGATCAACAAAACTGTCCAATATCTTACCTCAATTTCAACTATACAATGAATTTTGGCTCTTGTTACATCAATGCACACCCACTTCTCTTCCTCTTCAACATGCACTTCTATCCATTCCACGAAAGGCTCACCTTTTCTTCTTTTACCCTCTACATCTCCAACTTTTCCACAGAATTTTCTCTTATCAGTGTTCTCATTACCCTCCATGCTGTTTCTCTTGTCAGACCTTCTCTGTCTTTGTAACTTTGGACCTTTTTTTATCTTACTATAGCTCAAATCAAAGTCACTATCCTCTCCATCATCACTTAGAGACTTTCTCTTTTGAATGTTTTCTTTCTTATTTATTTTCTTTACACCTGAACCTTTATTTCCTTTAGATTCCACTTCAGAATCAGATGACAGCATTTTTCTATTGTTTCTTTTCACATTATTATTCTGTTTCTTTAAATTGTCCTGAGAATTTTCTGTGTCCCAAGAACAAGATGGTTCAGGAGCTATAGTTTTCTTCTCCCCTTTCTTTGGTGGCTTAATTAAGCTTTCCATAGATGGTTTCCAACTCATTGGTTGTAAAGACAATACCAACCGTGTGTTTATTCCGAGGGCACGACAGAGTACAACAAACATGAACACAAGCTCTTGATTTGAACATGCTTTTTTCATCTCAAACCTCACTGCCAATATCTGTTTTAGTGGATGACTCCAATAATCATCTTCCATATCCTCAGGTTTTACTGTGATTTTCTTTGAAAACCAGCCAACAAGTACTTCCAGGTGCTTAAAATCTAATCTCTTAGGTGGATAAGCTTTCTTGTCGGTAATAATGGAGAGAGCAGCACCAAGTAGCTCTTCAGAGTTTAAAATCTTGTTGACATGCCTCCCAAAGGCAAAAAGGGAAAGGAGATGTACTTTGTGCATATTTTCATGAACTACTTTGATGGATCGATTAGCACGCTTCCGTAAATAGTCTTCAATCTATAAAGAAAGTGAGCAAATGAATAAGTAAGCTTATTTAGGTACAATTTTACATAATAGTAATTTGGATGATTACAACTGTCTTAAGTAACCCCCCAAAAAAAGTTAAAGTGACACACAAAGTGTTCCCATTCTATTTGTAGATGTCATACATTTATAAGACAGCTTATATTTGTGTAAACTCTGCATTTATCATTTTTCACACTCAACATGATCCTAGCTAATTAACCCTTTCATTGTTGGTCCTGTAATATTACGGCTTGAGAGCTAGTGTCGGTCCCATAATACTAGCGCCTTCAAATCTGGTGGGAGAAAGCTGGTAGGCCTACATGTGAGAGCATGGGTCTGTGTGCTCAGTGTGCACAGTACAAAAAAATCCTACAGCGCACAGTATATAATGAGAAAAAAAAAAACTCCGACCATGTTTTTGGTTTAAAACACCTATTTTGCAGTGTATTTTTGTATGGTATTTATGAATGTATTCTCGTTTTCTTGGTCTCATTTGACAGAATAGAAGATATACTACAGAAATAGTGATGATTCTGAATGGTTTTTGGAATAAAAGTACCTTGAAATTGAGCTCAAAGTAGCAGAAATGTTTGATTTTTGCTGATGTTCCAGAGTAAACAAATCACGCCACACATCCAATACACGTCAACTGGTGGGTCTAATATGCTTTCACAAATGTGCTGATATTATTTATACCATTTTTACAATAATGCAGTAGTCTGCATAACAGTAAATCTTCTATTTTTTTGTGTGAATAAAAATTCAAGATGGAAAGCAAGCATAATATAAGAGGGGCCTGGAGATGTGACTAATGAACAGAGATAATTTTACTTTAGTGCTAGAAATGTCTGCATTGTTTATTCTGGCCCCTATTTTGAAATTGGCCTTACTTGAATTGTGTATGAAATTGGCCAAATTACCAATTTCTGATCACTTTATTGGGTAGCTGAAATCAATAAATGGGCAGTTTATTGTACTCAATCAATAAAACAAATGGAGTTCTAGTGAAATAGCTATGAGTTTGGTCGACTGGAACAATCGAATTGGCTGAAAATAGGGCTCAAATTGGGCAAAATCGGCAATGCGTAAATATCGCCGAGAGTGCTAACTTCGCGAGAGCGTAATTCCGCAAGTTTTCCATCAATTTTTTTTTTTGTTTTTGTGTATTACCACAAGGAAAAAATTCTCTATCATTTCATAAGAAAAAATAATTTTTTTTTTTCAAACATTTTTTAACACAGAAAGAGAGTTTAGAGTCAGGGGTCCCAACAGTGAAAGGGTTAAATATATAGCTGTCAGCCAAGTTAATTAAATATAAGAATCTTCACCAATTATTCATACTATAATAAAATATTGAATTTTTACCATCTCCTCTTCGGTACGTTTCTTCCTCCTGCGTATGCCCCACAACACATCTGGTGCATCAAGCTCAATCTGAACCCCTTCAGGTTTTGCTTTAGCCAAGTGTGATCCAGTGAGTAGCTCCTCAATTTCATTGACTCCTTCCATTTCATTGACTTCCTCCCAGTCACTTACATCAGAATCTGAAGCTGTAACAGATGTCTTCTTATTTGACTTGACACTCCTATTTTTTGAATTAGTAACTGGTTTGGAAATTTTGCCCTTACTCAAGTCTCGTGGGATTGAGCTTTTTGATACAAGATTCACATCCTTTTCTCTTTTTTTATTAATTTTGGCTGGAGAATTATGGCTCCTTTTACTTGGCACATTTTTTTTATCAAGCACAGGGCAATTTTGCTTGATCTGGTATTTGTTTTCATATTCTGAGATGATGCAGGTAAACTATTTATCATTTTCTTTTTAGTTTTCTCTTTCTTTAAGGATCCCCTGTCAAAGTTATTTCCCAGTGGAAATCCTTCAAATATCTTTTGTTCAATTGTTGAAAAATCTAGATCACTAGCTTCACAATCTTTATCATGACAGCTTACCACTCCTTTTGTATCATTATGCAGTTTCTTTTGGGGGTCCAGCCTCCGATGCCTTGAAGAATCTCGATTTGTTTTATTCTCATTTGCATCTAAAGATGGTTTAACTCTTAGCTCTTTACTCTCAGATCTTGAGTGTCTTTTAATTTTTTCATTTGTTTTAGCAGCTACTTGCTCATGAGATGTGTTACTTAAACTTGCTTCCTTCTGTTCATCAGTTTTTGTGAGTGAGGCTCGCTTCCTCGTGTTAAATCCTTTACTCTTTGAGTTATGTTTATTATCAGTTTTCATGGGAGGAATACTAGAGGACCTGGCTCCTGAGAGTTTCTTCCGCGTCAGCTGCTCCAAACATTCCATGCCAGATTTATGAACTGCCATCTTATATCTGAAACGAAAGTAGGAATTAGCTACAAAAACCATAACTTTTATAAAAAATATATTAAAAACATTAAAACACTAACACATTTGAGATGAAACATTTAAATACAGTGGACCCTCAGTTATCGGCTGTTCCACTTTTCGGCCAACTCGGTTATTGGCAGGTTTTTTGGCTTCTAGTTATCAGCTGTTATTTCGCTTACTGGTTGTATGGGGCATGTCAACCCACTGCCACCAGCTGCTCGCACGGATGGATGTGGAAGAGTTGGTGGAGGACCACAGTGAAGAGCTAACCACTGAAGAGCTGCAAGAGCTTCATCTGGAACAGCAACAGACAACAGCTGAGGAACTTGCTTCATGGGAGGAGGAAGAGGGAGGGAAGGAGATTTGTGCAATGTGGAGTAGGGTGCAAGCTTTTGTGGAGAAATATCACCCTGACCAAGCTCAAACAAGCCATATCTGCAACATGTTCAGTAATAAAACCTTGTCCCACTTCAGGGAAATCTTAGTGAGACGTCAGAAACGGACCTCTCTGGACAGATTTGTTATGCGAGAGGTGTGCAGTGACTCTCAAGCTGGTCCTAGTGGCAGTAAAAGACAAAGAAGGGAAGTAACCTCAGAGAGGAACTTGTTACCTGAAGTCATTATGAAGGGGGATTCCCCTTCCAAACAATAGCCCCAACCCTTTCAGGGTCCAGAGGCCAAATTTCAAAGTGTGCACCAGGGTCCAAGAATTTAAAAAAACAAAAATTATTTTTTCTTATGAAATGGTAGAGAATCTTTTTCTGAAGGTAATAAAACAAAAAGTACAAAATTTGATGGAAAATTGACAATATTATGCTCTCGCGAATTTTGATGTGTCAGCGATATTTACGAATCGGCGATTTTGCCGACTTTGACTCCCATTTTAGGCCAATTACATTATTCCAGTCGACCAAATTCTTAGCCATTTCACTAGTATTACTTCTATTCTATCGACCGAGCACAAGAAATCGCCAAGTCAACTGTTTCAACTACAAAATAAAGTGATCGGAAATTGGTAATTTGGCCAATTTAACACAAATAACCAAAAAAGGCACAATACCGTGACTGGAACGATACACAAATAACCTGCACATAAAAGAGAGAAGCTTACGATGACGTTTCGGTCCGACTTGAACCATTTACAAAGTCACACTAACCAGAAGTGGAGCAGGAGATGCCCGGGTGTTGCGCATGTGTCTTAATTTCATCTTGTTGGTATTATATACCATTCTTGTACTACTACCACCACCACCTCTTCCTGCCTATATATAGCCGTCCTGCTCCACTTCTGGTTAGTGTGACTTTGTAAATAGGTCCAAGTCGGACCGAAACGTCGTCGTAAGCTTCTCTCTTTTATGTGCGCGTTATTTGTGTACAATTTAACACAAAGTTCAAAATATTCCAATTTCAAAATAGGGTCCAGAATAAATAATGCAGGCATTCCTGGCACTAAACTAACATTTCCTCTGTTCATTAGTTATGTTTTGAGGCTTTACAAATGAATTCCATTTTGATTTTTTATTCACATAATGAATTTTTATTCAAACCAAAAAATAGAAGATTTACTGTTATGCAATATTGTAATAATTGTATAAATATCATCACCACATTTGTGAATGTATATTAGACCCACTAGATGGCGTGTATTAGATGTGTGAGGTCATTTCTTTACTCTTGAACATCGACAAAAATTTAACATTTCCGCTACTTTGAGCTCAGTTTCAAGCCATTTCCAGTGCTAAAACCAATCAAAATCATCTCTATTTCTGTAATATATCTTCCATTCTATCAAATGAAACCAAGAAATCGCAAATACAACTATAAAAACATACGACAAACACTGCAAAGTTGCTGTTTTAATAAAAAATCACGGTCTCAGTTCTTTTTCTCTCATTATACACTGTGTGCTGCAGAATTTGTTTTATGTGGTGCACACATACCACATTGATGTATTCTCTCATATCTAGGCCCAAATTTACCACTCACAGCTTATCAGAGTGAGCTGAGCTCATGGCATAGATCTACGGTTTGGACCCTGAATGTAAAGCCGTAGATCTATGGCACGGACCCTGAAAGGGTTAAGGTATATAATAGTGATCTAATTGTTCATGTATTTATTTTATTTAGTTCTCATTGTTTTGTGTATGTAAAACTTTAATTAATCTTTACAAAAATTATTTTTTGTTAATATTTTTGGGTGTCTGGAAAGGATTAACTGTACGTATTTATATTAATTCTTATGGGAAATATTTCGGTTTTCAGCCATTTCGATTTTAGGCCGACCTTCTGGAACAGATTACAGCCAATAACCAAGGGTCCACTGTATTTAATATTGCTGACCCACTGCCTAAGTGAATCCTTCATATCTGTAGAAGCAAAAGTGTTTATGAAAAATTCAGTAGTGTAGTGAACTATTGTGTAGAATTTAACTCACTAAATAACTGCTGAGCTTTATATGGCATTTATTGCTAACATTGTTGCCTCTGTATTTTCTACCTCATCCAACATATTGAACTCAACAAGAGTTACAAATCTGTTAATAAAACTTTTAAAAATGTCTAATAGTATCAAATGATGCCTCTTAATATGTCACAAACATGCCTAATGAGCAACATAGTGTTGCAGAATGAAAGATTTTCTTGATTAGAACATAATCCAAAATATGTATAGACCATCAGTTTGTGTCCTACCTAGAAACAAGTGTTAAGAAAAATCAGGAAAGCAAGTCTGGTGATTATGTACACAAATACATAACCAAACAAAAAAAAATTCAAAAAGGCCATTAGGCATTAAGTATTTGATTTAATTTCCTCAATAATTCTTCAGAATTTTTCATTAGTACAGTAGCAAGTAAGCAGTTGTATTTATGACTATGCATTTCACACTCTGAAAAGATGAATCTAGTACAGTGGTACCCTGAGTTTCGTACAGCTCCTAACTCAAACAATTATGTAAGTGTATTATTATAAGTGCTTTTGTAAGTGTATTTTTGGGGGTCTGAAATGAACTAATCTAATTTACATTATTCCTTATAGGAAGAAACTAGTTCGGTAACGGCACTCGAACATCCTTCTGGAACAAATTATGGCTGAAACTCGGGGTACCACTGTACTACATAAGAGAAGTAGCCGTTGCATCATGACTGACGAAGATTCAAGCTCAATTATTATAAAACCAATACATATCTGAAGGAGAATTCTTGCTAGGGCCCATGCTTCACTTAAACAGGACAAGATAAGATTTTGTTCAGATTTTTAACCCAGAGGGCTAGCCACCCAGGATAGCCCAAGAAAGTCAGTGTGTCATCAAGGAATGTCTCTCTTATTTCTATTGGGGTCCTGGTATGGGTGGAAACATTGGGCATGTTTCCTTGCACCTGCTGTCCCTGTTCAGCTAGCAGTTAGTAGGCACCTGGGTGCTAGTCAACTGGTGTGGGTAAGTAAGCAAGTTTATTAGGGTAAAGGTACACAAAAGTTCAATTATCGTACATAGTTTGACATGTGTAAATTACCTAGGAGGGGAAAAAGGGAGAAAAAGGTAAGTGGTGCACTGAGGAGTCTGTGGAAGCAAAGAGGGGAATGTATAAGAGTATAGTTACACCAATGTTCTTATATGAAGCATGGGCGGTGAATGTTGCAACAAGGAGAAGGCTAGAGGCAGTGGAGACGTTATGTCTGAGGGCAATGTGTGGTGCGAATATAATGCAGAGAATCCATAGTTTGGAGATTAGGAGGAGGTGCAGGATTACCAAAACTATCATCCGGAGGGTTGAGGAGGGGTTAATGAGGCGGTTCATAAATGTAGAGAGGGTAGAACAAAATAGAATGACTTTGAGAGTGTATAAATCTATAGTGGAGGGAAGGCGGAGTAGGGGCCGGCCTAGCATAGGTTGGAGGGAGGAGGGGTAAAGGAGGTTTTGTGTGTGTGGGGCCTGGACTTCCAGCAAGCATGCATGAGCGTGTTAAATAGGAGCGAATGGAGACAAATGGTTTTTAAGACTTGATGTGCTGTTGGAATGTGAGCAAGGCAACATTTATGAAGGGATTCAGGGAAACTGGCAGGTTAAAAATCCCAACAAATTTTATAACAGTGGATTAACATCCAGGTACCTACTTTCTGCTAGGTGAGCAGGGGCTGCAGGCTTTCTATACAGTATGTCACTGACGTCAGCTAGGTCTATATAAACTGTATCATGAACTTATGCAACTTAAGGCAACAAGTCGCTTTTTTTTCGTACCCTTGTGGGGGTATTACATACCTTGTATGAGAGGAGTGTACCTGTGCTAGTGGCTTTATTTTGTGCTTAACAATGTTTTATTACATGTAAACCACATTTCGTATACTGCAAAGAAGAAATAAAGTTGTATTGTACTTACTTACTGCCTTCCCTCCTTAAGGTGCCCCGCCAGTGCCCATGCTGCACTTATACAACATGTCAACAAACACCTACGTCATTGATACGTCATAACTTAGCTGACATCCCATTGGCTGTTCCTTGTTAGCTATCGCACTCTGATTGCTGATTGGCTCCCTGTTTTGTTGGTAATGCATACCCAACAGTTTTTTTTTTTAAGTAATCAACAGCATCATATGATGTAATGTTTATTGTTTAAAGGAAGGTGGGCCGGTAAGCCAGCGGAATACCTCGGTCAGATGACCGAAAGTTCCAGTTGGCTGGTGATCAGTCTAAGACCTGTAATTATCCTAGGTAATTTACACTATGTGTGATAATTGTACTTATGAATCCCTGTGCCTAAATAAACTTACATAATTACCTGCTTACCTGTGTCAAGAAGCATCTCTCTTTTTTCAGCGTTACCTAACAAAACAATAACAATACTGCACTAGCCAAAGAATCGAACCCATGCCGTTTTGACCCGCCTCAAGGTGAGAGAAAACGCATGATGCTTTAGACCACTAGACCACACAATTCTTAACAATGGTGCATTCAGCCAAACTAGATGTTGTACCCACCATCGAAGGACATACGATGGAGTGGACGCCTCTGAGCTAATTTCATTCTACTCTCTGTTTGTGTACTAGCTCAACAAGCAGTATATTATATTACTGTACCCGCGGAACAAGTGGTATTGGTCAATAACAACACTGCACTGTGTAGGCGAAACGTTTCGAAATAAAGATACCTAACTGTTGCATATGTGTCTTACCTAACAACCTGTCGGTATTTTATACCATTTTATTATTCAATCTGTCTGACACTGCAACACAAGGGTATCTTGGTACAGACCTACAATCAACTTCGACAACCTCTACTAGTGAGAACGGTTGGATCTGAGAGGGACCTGTCCTCCCAACATCTGAGATCTTACCTCTCCTAGTGACCTACGTCTCACCTCCTGGCGCTACAAAAGGCTCCATCCTGTCACTTCATCTCCATATTGTTTCATTCCATGGAACAATGCTCTTCTCCAGACTGAGGGACTGACCACCTCAAAACTTTAAGGGTGATGGACTGATTACATCGTCTTCAAGTATCTTCTGCTTCTATCAACTTTTCTGTACTCGACTGAAGAAGCCTACTGTGTAGGCGAAACGTTTCGAAATAAAGATACCTAACTGTTGCATATGTGTCTTACCTAACAACACTGCACTAGCCAAGGAGTCGAACCCATGCTCAGAGGCGTCCACACCACCGTATGTCCTTCGATGGTGGGTACAACATCTAGCTTGGCTGGATGCACCATTCAATTCAAGTTTATTCTCTGCCCCAGGGCCAGACTCATGGAACTCTGTGTTCATCAAGAACTGCAAGAAGCCCCTATCACGAGCCTTTTCCATCCTATGGAGAGGGAGCATGGACACGGGGGTCGTCCCTCAGTTACTAAAAACAACAGACATAGCCCCACTCCACAAAGGGGGCAGTAAAGCAACAGCAAAGAACTACAGACCAATAGCACTAACATCCCATATCATAAAAATCTTTGAAAGGGTCCTAAGAAGCAAGATCACCACCCATCTAGAAACCCATCAGTTACACAACCCAGGGCAACATGGGTTTAGAACAGGTCGCTCCTGTCTGTCTCAACTACTGGATCACTACGACAAGGTCCTAAATGCACTAGAAGACAAAAAGAATGCAGATGTAATATATACAGACTTTGCAAAAGCCTTCGACAAGTGTGACCATGGCGTAATAGCGCACAAAATGCGCGCTAAAGGAATAACAGGAAAAGTCGGTCGATGGATCTATAATTTCCTCACTAACAGAACACAGAGAGTAGTCGTCAACAGAGTAAAGTCCGAGGCAGCTACGGTGAAAAGCTCTGTTCCACAAGGCACAGTACTAGCTCCCATCTTGTTCCTCATCCTCATATCCGACATAGACAAGGATGTCAGCCACAGCACCGTGTCTTCCTTTGCAGATGACACCCGAATCTGCATGACAGTGTCTTCCATTGCAGACACTGCAAGGCTCCAGGCGGACATCAACCAAATCTTTCAGTGGGCTGCAGAAAAACAATATGAAGTTCAACGATGAGAAATTTCAATTACTCAGATATGGTAAACATGAGGAAATTAAATCTTCATCAGAGTACAAAACAAATTCTGGCCACAAAATAGAGCGAAACACCAACGTCAAAGACCTGGGAGTGATTATGTCGGAGGATCTCACCTTCAAGGACCATAACATTGTATCAATCGCATCTGCTAGAAAAATGACAGGATGGATAATGAGAACCTTCAAAACTAGGGAGGCCAAGCCCATGATGACACTCTTCAGGTCACTTGTTCTATCTAGGCTGGAATATTGCTGCACTCTAACATCACCTTTCAAGGCAGGTGAAATTGCCGACCTAGAAAATGTATAGAGAACTTTCACGGCGCGCATAACGGAGATAAAACACCTCAATTACTGGGAGCGCTTGAGGTTTCTAAACCTGTATTCCCTGGAACGCAGGAGGGAGAGATACATGATTATATACACCTGGAAAATCCTAGAGGGACTAGTACCGAACTTGCACACGAAAATCACTCACTACGAAAGCAAAAGACTTGGCAGACGATGCACCATCCCCCCAATGAAAAGCAGGGGTGTCACTAGCACGTTAAGAGACCATACAATAAGTGTCAGGGGCCCGAGACTGTTCAACTGCCTCCCAGCACACATAAGGGGGATTACCAACAGACCCCTGGCAGTCTTCAAGCTGGCACTGGACAAGCACCTAAAGTCAGTTCCTGATCAGCCAGGCTGTGGCTCGTACGTTGGTTTGCGTGCAGCCAGCAGCAACAGCCTGGTTGATCAGGCGCTGATCCACCAGGAGGCCTGGTCACAGACCGGGCCGCGGGGGCGTTGACCCCCGAAACTCTCTCCAGGTAAACTCCAGGTATAAGGGTTACAATGTGGGGTTTACAGGTTTTGGGTATTGTGTGGTTTACATGTTATAAAATACTACTTACAGAGGGGGCCACTAGGACACCTAGCATGGCTCGGCATTTCGAGCAGACTTAGATTAATTCTTAACATTATATCCTTACAGACTATGGTATTAAGGCTAAGTGACTACATTATAATTTGTGAGTTTAGCAATGTGAATGCTTTTGTTTTGGCACAATACAAGGTGTCTATATTGGAGTATCATAGGCAAACTTGACTCAAGAAATCGTAATGACACGATTGCAAATAAACCATACCCCCGGCCGGGATTGAACCCGCGGTCATAGAGTCTCAAAACTCCAGCCCGTCGCGTTAGCCACTAGACCAGCTAGCCACAATAAGATTCATCCAACTAGGTATATTTCTACACCATAGGAAAGTTAGCACAGGCATTTGTGGTCACAGAGGTGCCTGTGCTAACTTTCCTATGGTGTAGAAATATACCTAGTTGGATGAATCTTATTGTGGCTAGCTGGTCTAGTGGCTAACGCGACGGGCTGGAGTTTTGAGACTCTATGACCGCGGGTTCAATCCCGGCCGGGGGTATGGTTTATAGGCAAACTTATGGCTAGTTAGGATTTATTATTTTAAGATTAAGATTAGTATTTCTGGGTTTATAGTCAGTGGGTGAGTGAGTGTAATTGTGAACCACCAGGTGGTTATCATGTAGTTAGTTGTCGGGGTGGATCAGGGAGATAAGATGTTTTCTAACTGTAGTTTTGAAAGTGATGAATGTGTCTGCAGTTCTAGAGTTTCCGTCGGGGTGGATCAGGGAGATAAGATGTTTTCTAACTGTAGTTTTGAAAGTGATGAATGTGTCTGCAGTTCTAGAGTTTCCAGGTAGGGTGTTCCAGATTTTAGGCCCTTTGAAATACATTGAATTTTTGTAAAGGTTTAGTCGAACACGGGGAATGTCATAGAGATGTTTGTGACTTAAGAAATCGTAATGACACGATTGCAAATAAACCATACCCCCGGCCGGGATTGAACCCGCGGTCATAGAGTCTCAAAACTCCAGCCCGTCGCGCTAACCACTAGACCAGCTAGCTGGTCTAGTGGTTAGCGCGACGGGCTGGAGTTTTGAGACTCTATGACCAGATGTTTGTGTCTGGTGTTATGCCTGTGGATCCTGTCACAACTATCAAGAAAGCGTTTCAGGTCAAGGTTAATATTGGAATTTAAGGTCCTGTAGATATAGATTGCACAGTAGTAAGTGTGGATGTTCTGAACAGGGAGTAAGTTTAGATCTATGAAGAGTGGGGGGGGGGGTGTTGCCAGGGATGGGATTTAGTGATTATTCTTACTGCGGCTTTTTGTTTACATATTCTAGAAGAGACCCATCATGCAATTGGATCTGACGAACTGTGCCTCTCTGTCGAGGAGGACGCCTATTGAGTATCTTTGTTTTATCAGTAGAGATTATCAACCCCAGGTCCTGACACGAGGCTAGTACATGATTAAGAATGTTTTGGGTGTTGGAGAATCCGGTGGTGTGAATCATTATATCATCAGCAAAACTAATCACATAATTATGGGGCTGACTAGGCATAGCATTAAGTTCCACTACTTGGACCTGTTGTAACAAGACTTTGTCGCCAATACAAAGAACGACTGAGAGCACTTAGAGTTGTGGCAGGGCTTCACCCCAGGTATGGTGCTAATGTTAAAATTGTGAAAATGATGTATCTTGCTTATATTAGATCATTGGTTGATTATGCTGCGCCACTACTTGCTCTTGTGTCTGACTGGAAGCTTGGAGGGCTGGAAAAACTGCAGAACGAAGCAATGAGGATCATCCTAGGATGCCCTCGTACTGCCAAAATTTTAAATATGCAAAAAGAACTTGATATTCCAAGCATCAGAGATCGTGTTACTGAAAGAAATACCTATTGGGGTTAATATGCTCAGGCAAGCTCATTCAAACCCCTGCACAGAAGCCCTCCAAACTTTCCTCAGCACTGGTGAACACTCCTCCAGATGGATCGAAAAGACTGGAACCGACCTCCGCATG